TATGGCCCCTTCAGGCCACAGCCTCTGTGTATGGGAACCACTGTCTCCCAGGTGTTGTCTGACCAAGTGTTGTCTTGGTCTCAGCCCCTACAAGCAATCAGGAAAGCTGGAAGCCAGAGGCTGGACAGAGCAAGGGGACATGTGCTATCACGTGAGAGCATGCCCTAGGAGGCCACAGGCCAGCATTACGTCCTGCTGATGGGTTAACACCTCTGTGAACCCTATTGAAAATGGTATACATGAATTTATTTGCAAAGCAGAAAAAGAGACACAGATGCAGAGAGTAAGTGTATGGATACCAAGGGGGAAAAGGGTTGGGTGGGAGGAATTGGGAGGTTGGGGTTGACACAGATACACTATTGGTGCTATGTATAAAATAGACATCCATCCTAAAGGAAATCAGTCCTGAATATTCATTGGAAGGACTGATGCTGAAGCTGAAACTCTAGTACTTTAGCCACCTGATGCAAAGAACTGACTCATTTGAAAAGACCCTGATGCTGGGAAAGATTGAAGGCAGGAGGAGAAGGGAACCACAGAGGATGACATGTTTGGATGGCATCACCTACTCAATGGACATGAGTTTGAGCAAGCTCCAGGAATTGGTGATAGACAGGGAAGCCTGGCGTGCTGCAGTCCATGGGGTCACAAAGAATCAGACACGACTGAGTGACTGAACTGAACTGAACTGATAAAATAAACAAATGATGGGAACATACTGTATAACACAGGGAACTCTACTTCATGGTGTCCTAAATGAGAGGGAAATCCAAATGGGAGGGAATATATGGGTAGGTACAGCTGATTCATTTGGCTGTGCAGTAGAAAGGAACACGACATGGTAAAGCAGATATACTGCGATAAAAAATAATTTTAAAAACAACCCTGATGACTCCCCACCCACGTGACACCCCATCACGTGTCCTCGGGTAGCACACATATTCTAAACTCCCCCTCCTCCATGCTCCTGACTCCAGACCTGTGGATGCAGTCGCCCCTGAGCACTTCCCATCACGTGGTCCCCCACATAGCTCACATGCAAACAAAGCTGATTGCACCCTCTTTTGTCCCCTCTCAGGTGTCCTCGGCTCAGAGCTGGGCAGCACCACCCCAAAGGCTCTCCAAACCTGGGCACCAGTCTCACTGCCCTCCTCTTCCTCACTTCTGCCCGGCAGGTCCTGCTTCCCAAATGTCTCATGAATCTACCCAGCCCCAGAGAGAATCCATGCTTGAGTTTGTGCCCCCAGCGTACCTCACCTGGACCACCTCCCCATCACCTTCCATCTGGGACCTGCACCCACAACAGACCCCCAGCCTCTACCATAAGCAGCTTGGGGGCTCTGGAGCCAGGCCTGGACTCAGTGCCAAGCATACAAGGGTGATTATGCCTCTGTCCCCATCTTCAAAGGACTTTCCAAGGTCATCCTGACACCATCATTCTGATCACCCAGTTAGGTGGCCGAGGTGGGCCAGGAAGGACCAGAGGGAGAAGCTCAGTCTCCATCAGGCATGTCAGAGTCAAAGCCCAGCTCCAGCCCTTGACTGCTGGCGACTTTGATGGTGCCGTTGGACTTGCCCGCCCTGAGCCTCAGGACGCAGCCTCGTGTGGCACCCACTTGTGAGGCCAGTGGGAGAGTCGCAGAGGCAACACACTGAACAGCCCGCTCCGTGACTGTTCCTGCCACCGTCACAGCCCCGAGGAACTGGGGTGTTCCCTCCCTTCAGCCACAAGGGCTTGATTTTGTCAGCCCTCCTTCCCTCCAAGAGACGGCCCATCTGGGCGGCCCTCACCTGCCCAGCCCGCACGCAGACCCTCTTTCCTGGGGCCAGCTCTTTTCCGGGCATCTACTCAAACAGGGCCCTCTCAGTGGGTCACCCAGCCCCGTCAAAGGATCCCTGTGCAAGCCTCAAACGGGGCATTGATGGGGCTGTGGTGAGGACTGCCCAGTGATGGCGGGCTGGCTTGGCTTGGCCCGGGCCACGTGACTTCCCCAAACCCAGCTATTTCCTGTTCCTCGGGCCAGCCCCCTGCCAGCCGCCTGGCCACAGGGCACAATGCCACCACACATCTCTGCCAGTTCCTTGGCTTCGGGCCACGGGTGGGAGTGGGAAGGAGGATGGGAGTGTCACCTCAGCATTTGTCCTCAGGACACACGGCCACTGCCCCTCAACAACTTCTTCATGAAGACGCAAGGCTGGAGGCAAGGCCAGCCCCCTCCTCCTGTGACCTCTGCCCCCAATTTCCCGCTTACTGGGGGTTTCAGGGTGGGGGGCTCTCTTCATATGAATCTTCATAAGAAGCAAGAGCTCACACAGACTGCGTCCCCAACCCCCTAAACCTGCACTTGCAAGTAGAATAAAAAAGCACTTAGTCTAACCCCTGACTGCGGTGTGGCCTCAGGGAAGTCACTTGATGTCTCTGGGCCTCAATTCCCTCATGTGTGAATGAATGGGAGACTGCTGTCCATCTCCATTAGAGTCTCGCCTTATTATTGTTAGGGCATTGGATAAAGAGCGGGTAAAAATCCATGAAGAAATCTGTCAATCTTAAGAAAATCTGACAACTCCAACAGATTGACAGCATGCCTCAAATTCCCTTCTCTCTTTTCCTATAGGGGAACTTCACCAGCCTTTTTATGGGTCCCAGAATTTGGTCTCTTCCTTCCTAAAACCCAAGTCCGATCCTGTAACTCCCCTGCCCAAAACCCCTCAAAGAGTCCCCTATCCCAGGATAGGCCCACACTCCTGGTCATGGCATTCAAGGCTCCGCTAGGTCTCCTTTGGTGCTGGTGACAGAGCCCAACTCAGACGGAAGAAGTCTAGAGGTGGGAAAGGAGAGAAAGAGATTATTGAAGATTTTGATTCCTGGATCCAGCCATGCCTGAAGCTGAAATTCCCTGAATTTTCACTTACATGAGCCAAGAAACATCACAACCACCATTTATTTCTGATTGCTGTTTTCAGTAAACTTGGCTCACTAAATTTTCTGTTACTTGCAACCATCTCCTTCCTATAAGTGCCCTTCTCAGCTGAAGTTAGCCAGGGTGGGCTTGCAGCCAAAGAACCCTGATGTACACAAAGGCTTTTCATGATCCAGGCCCCAAGACACTGCCAACCTCCTCCCCACCCTCCTTACTTGCAGCCACATTGGGCTACCTCCCCCAGTTCCTCTCCCCACCTCCACAAGGCCTATCACACTTTGCCACTTGAGCCCAGAACATCCTTCCCCACTGTGCTCACAGCTGCCCTTTCATCCTTCAGCTCAATGAAACCTCTTCCAAGAAGTCTCCTCTGGTTGACGGGGTCCCTCAGACTTTCCCCATGATGGTGTTATAATCATTACAGGCTATTTACAATCATTTATGCTTCTGCCTCCTCTTACCCAGACTGAAGGGTAACTGGAGGCTACTCAGATCCACTGTGGTCACCCCAGTGCCCAGCATGGGACCTGGCTCCAGGTGGGTGCTGTCCAGGTGAATGCAGTTCACACCTTGCCTGGGAAACCTGAGGGTGTTTACAGGGTCCATGATTTGTGATCAGAAACAGTGCCAGGTCATGACACTCCCTACCTGGACATGGGCCCTGTGAGTTTCTGGACCGAAAGAACAGCGTGTGTGTGTGTGTGCTGGAGTGATGAAGGTTGACTTCCCAACCCTGGCCACACACCATATTTTAGGAACCACATGAGCCAAAGAGAAGCGTGTTGCTGCTTTATTAAAACTTCTTCCCCATCACACAAAGCAATGACACAAGGGGTGTTGGTGGGGAGCCCCTTGCACAGCCCTCTCCCTCTGCACCACCCCCCTGCCACAGACCCCAGAGAACCTGCCTCTGTGGCCTTCTCTCCACCTTTGGATCTGTGCCCTCAGAAATCCTGGCCCCCAGGAAGGCAGACAGAACAGGTGGTACAGGTACCAAAACCTTCCCTATGGCCCCACCAACATAAGCCCCCAGGGCTGGGTCTGTGCCCACAAAGGGTTTGCCTGTTTTGACTGAACTAACCTGTGGATTTAGTCCAACAAATGCATTTGCCTGATTTCAGGGCTGAATTTCTGCTTAACCCAAGTGTCAGGCAGAGCTGGGTAGCCTACGGCTAACTGGCGGTGGACAGGCCGCAGGATGGGCTGATAGTGCGTTACTAGAGATGACCATGGTTGAGGACACACGTTTCCCAGGACCCATGGCTATGTGACCACACTGGCCGTGAGTGACTGGTTGTTGAGGATGAAAACTCTTCAGCAAACCTATTGTGTGTCTGTAGGGGCTGTTTGATGATTAAAACATCTGCTACTTCCTGTTTTGGCAAATGCCTGACTGCATTTTCATTTGAATGAACAATTATTCAGGACTCACAGGACTGAATTGACCACAGCAGGCAGTTGGGTTATTGGACTAGATTGAATTGAATGATTTAGGGACTAATTTGAGTTTTTTTTATTATTGGATGTTATCACTAAATTAACTGAGGGTTGGCTGACTTAATCATTGTTTAAGCAACTATTGGAGGAAACTGGACATATGTATTTGGTGGGGAGGACCAACCGATGATTACTTGACTGAATTGCTCTGTGAATTGACAACTATTTACAAACCAATGCAATGGACTTTGTTGTTTGACCACATTATTTTCACTGAACTGACAAGTGTGTTTTTGATTTGTCAGCCCCTTAGTAAAACTGGTCAAGTTGAGAGTTACATAAGCAAACTCACTGACTTTAGAAAGACCAATCATGTAGACCAATGTCAGAGCTGATCGAAAGAAGCCAAGGGCTGTTGGACTGAATTTTTGAGACCTGAGGAATCATTCAGCCTAAAAGGGTTGACCCATTGTGAGCATCTCCCAGGCCCCGCAGGAAAAGCAGGCCAGCGAGGGGGACACAAGCAGATGGTCCTGAAGTCAGCCAGGTGGTTCACCCAGGCCACGGGGGCCACCAAAGCAAAGAAGCGGATTGCGAGGCAGCTCCGCCCCTCCCAGCACCAGGGCTGGGGCCTGGCGAGCGTCACACCTCTGAGTACGGGGGTGGTGCTGGGCCCCCCTCCGGAACCTTGTATGGCAGAGACACGGCTTCCTCGTACGATGGCAGGACCACCTGGGAGAGACAGAGAGATGAGAATTGAGAACTGACCAGATGGGACCACCATCTCAACCCGGGATCAAGCGGCTCAAACCCCCACCTCTGGCAAGATGATGAAAATGATGATGAGGATGACAACTAGCATGCTTTGGGTACTAACTATGTGCTGGCATTACACGAACAAGATAGGTGCAGACGGACTTGCTTCTGCCTGTTCAGCACCAAGCCCCCTTGTTCTGAGAACAGTATACCATTCTCCCTGGGAAAACTTTCTCAGTCCATGCGCTTTCAGAAGAACTGATCATCCTTCTGACTTAAGGGAGTGGATATGAGACCTGGGGTGGTCACTCAAAATAGAATTTCATCCCCCCTGGGAATCCGTCATTGGTTTGGGGATAGGCTTGGAACCCAGGCTGGCCCAATCAGACATGCTCCTGGAATGTCTTTCTTTCTGTTGGGGTTACTTAGAGGCTGAGATGTCTGTCTAGGGCTATTGGCAGCTATTTTGTCACCATGCAGACAGGGATGTCCAAAAATGAAATCATTTCTCAGCTATACCTGAACCAGACCTACACTGGACTTTCAAATTCTATAAATTAATAAATTCCCTTTTTTTTTTAATGTAAGTAAGGTTGAGTTGGGTTTCTGACACTAGCAACCCAAAAAAAGTCTTAACCAATACAATCCCCATTTTACAGATGAGGAAAATGAGCCTTCAATAATTTAAACCAGCTGCAATTTTGCATCATTTCTCCAATCAGCTGCTTCTTAGTGCACATCACCCTTCTTCCTGGAAGATCCCGTCCCCTTTCTCAGCTAATTTGTACCAACTGACAGTCTAAGTTTTGGTCAGGTGCCACCTCCTCCAGGAAGCCTTCCCTGAAACTCCAGATAAGGCTAGGTGCCTCCTCTGTGCTCCCATTGCCCTTGAGCTTCACAGCAAGTTGCGACTGAATCTCCATGTCTAGGTTCACTCTGGACTATGCTCTCCTCCAGAACAGGGTGGCATCTTAATTTTCTCTGCATCCCAAGGGTTGGATGTGAGGCCAAGAAAGAGTAAGAGGCAGAAGATGTTTAATGCGTGAATGAATTAACAGAATCCTAGACAATCAGAGTGGAAAGGGATCTTCACACTTCTTCTGGTCCAACTCTGATCTCACGAGTGGAGAAACTGAGACTGAGCCAGGCAGAGAGACCTGCCCTCAGTGACACAGTGAGAGGCAGACCTGGGACCTGACTGCCCAGCAGGCTCACCTTCTGTAGCATCTTGGAACCACTCCTCTCCTCAGCCGAGTTCATGTACTTCATGAACCTGTAGCATCTCCACACACACTTGAACATGTAGACCTGGAAAAAAGGCCCAGGTCAGGCTATGCTTCATGATCCCCTTCTCGCCGCCCCAGCAGGCCTGGGACAGAGGCTAGGTGCTTCCTGGGGAGCCCCAGTTCACCCCCAAAGCCACATTTAACTGCTGCTGCTCAGACCCCTCTTCTGGCTGGAGGAGGCCTCACCTGCCAGTCTCAGGCATCCAAAGTGCTTCCTTTTTCACTGCCCCACAGACTCAGCATGGGGAGGAGTTTTGGGGAGGCTTCTGGGCTACCCTCCAGCCACCCTGGCAACATTCCTGCAGATCCTGCTTCTTCACCGAGGGGACAGGAAACTCACCACCTCCTAAGGTGGCTCCACCCCTCCTGAGACAGAGCTAACAGCCAGAAAAGTTTTCTACAAAATCACTTATGATATGTTGATTTTTTTTTTAAAGCAAATTACCAAACTGTATGCAGTAGTGTTTATCAATGCATAAAAATTATATGTACAGATGCATATATCTATCAGATGACATGAGCAATAGTTTTCTCTTAGCAATTGATGTAAGAATTGGGGAGAAGTTTTCCAGAGTGGGGAGTGAAGTCCCCAGGGGTGCTTTCAAGGAACAAGAGCCAGTAAGTCTCTCTCTGCCCCTAAACTGCCTTCTAAGGAAGGTATCTGGAAGGTCCCCTGCCTTATGGAGTCCCATGATGGAGACTTAGAAGGAGCCAAAATAAATAAAATGAGCTATGAAAGAATGAAATACGAAGGGCCTGGGCAAAGCAAGCAGGTGGAGGGTGGCTAGTGAGGCACCCTCCCTCACTGGATGAAAATAAAGAATAGGAGAGGGCTGGGGGTGGAGTTTTGTGCTGGCATTTGGGCACCTTTTCTCTAGCAGCGTGTATGATGTGAACCCCCTACTTGGGTTCCCCCAAGCCTTCAGAAATATTCTCACTGAGCACGACTGATGCACTTGTGATAGCTCAGTCCTTTGAGGGAGGGTTAAAAGGAGTGAAGCTGTTTCCAGTTTGGCATTGAGAGCAGAGACTGCTCAGGGCCTCAGATGAAAGGAGGCAGTGATGCCTGGTAACACCACCCGTAAAAAAAGAGGGGGCGGAAATGCACCCAGATATCCGAGGCGCTACTCTCTGAGAGGTGGTGGATGGTGGGCTGATCATCTTCTCATCGGTAGTTTCTAAATTTCTACAGCAATCATATGTTACTTTCACAATCAGAAAAGAACGCTTTTAAAAGCCCTTTCTTCTCTTGAGTCAACATCAGCCTCCCTGTGGCTTCCGGCCACAGGTCCCCACTGTGGCCTCTAGAATCCCCATGAGAGTCCTTCGGGTACTTGGAGACAGTGATCACATCCCCCTTGAGTCATTTGTTTCTCAAGCTGAACTGCCCTGGTTTCACTGACTCCCTAAGACAGCAGAATTGTCTAGCCCCTTCATCTTCCTGTTGTGCTGCTATTAACACATTACTGACCAGAGACTTATTAACACATCTTTTGTTACTCAAATGTTACTGACCATTGCAGGCAGGTTCTTTACCTCTGAGCCACCAGGGAAGCCCATTATTGACCAGAGATGTATCAGTATGTTTTTAGAGACTGATACAATTAACACACTCCTGTCTGTCACCATATCTCTGAGAACTGGGACCTGAAATGGAACTCTATCCTCTGGGTCTGACTATTCCCGAGAAAAATAAAACCAATCTCCTTCCTCTTTCTCATCACGAAACTTCTAATAATATGACCTCAGGAACTGTCTACATTTTGGTGCCCGAATCACATAAAACTGTTGACGCGGGCAAAGCAAGACATAGGATGTGCCTTTCACAGGTGAGACCCAAGACCTGGAGAGAAGTGACTTGAAAACCAACCATACAGCTACAGGGGGGAAAGCTGGGATTCAAATCCAGGTCTTTCTGAATCTAATTCCAGACAGAATAGCTCCTCCTTCCTCTAGATCAGGGTTTCTCTGAGTCACACATTAAGTCCCTGACAAACCCAGCTGGGTCTTCACAGATCCACTTGCTCTAAATAGGGGGTCCCTGAGGATCCCATGTGGGGTCAGAGGAGCTGGTGTGGGGAGCACTGTAGTTTGGAGCCAACAGCAGTGAGGGCAGAAGTGGAAGACGCGCTTCCCTGCCTCCTAACAGCCTGGAATGGGAGGGCCCAGAGCAGCACAAGCTCATCACTCCTCCCTGAGCCGTGGGCCAAGGACCACTCACCTTCAGGATAAGGACAGTGATGAAGGCGATGGAGAAGACGATCATCATCTTGATGAACTGGTGGTGAGTCATACCGTCCTGGCTGGGGAGGTAATTCTGCAACAGATTTGGGGGCCATTTCAGTGCCTCTGCCCTAAGGAACTCTAACAGGAATAAAAGCCGGCTCTCCACGCACATAGGAACACATTATCTCAGATGATCCTTGCAAGGGCCCTGGGAGGCCAGTGCAACCTACCATCAGCCCTGTCTGGCAGGGGAGCAAACCCAGAGAGGCAAATGCAGCAGTTGCCCATCCAGATGACCCTTATCTGGCTGGTGCTCCTGTTCCCCACCCTACCCCCCAGCCATGTCCTTCTTGACTGGGTAGTCTTGACTGACAGATCCACCCAATCCTGAAATACCTGGGGGGCATGTCCCCTCCCCTAGGGGCAGCTCAGAGCTGGTTGATGGAAGGTCCTGCTCTGGGGAGACAACCCCTGTGGCATATGCAAATATGTGCACACATCCTTTGACACTCCTCCCTTGAGTGTGAGCTCGACTTAGGGACTCACTTCTCACAAACAATAGGATGTGCCAGAGGCACATGTGACCTCGGAGACCACATGGCTGTTTCTTCCTTGCTCTCACTCGGCTACTCGGCTACTCGCTGGGGGAAAGCTGGCAACCATGACATGAGGATGCGCAAGCAGCCTTCTCAAAGGTGCACATAGTTGGGAACCGAGGCAAAGAGCCCCAGAGCCATGCCAGTAAGCCAGCCTGGGGGTGCATCCTCCAGACCTAGAAAAGCCCTCGGAGTCCACAATCACATGCCCTCAAGGCAACCTCAAGAGAGACCCTGAATCTGACCAACCCAGCTAAGCCACTCCCAAATTCCCGATCCTCAGAAACTACTGAGATATCAACTGCTTATCGTTTTAAGTCACTATGTTTGCAGATCATTTGTTATAGAGCAATGAAAAACTATCACCATCTCTGCACTGCAGTTCACACTGCAGGGCGCCCTCTGGCATCCCGCTGGGGTACACCTAAAGCCACATATCTGCCTGGCTTCTTCCTTTTGTCTAACCTGCTTCCCTGGCTCCTTTCAGATTTCTTCCTGAGAACTCTCCTTCAGGAAATCACTCGCACAAGAATCTCCCCACCCAGCCCCACTTTCAGAGAACCCAGCCTAAGCACTGAGGCACAGAGAGGGGAAGCAACTCACTCAAGGCCACACCATCAGTGATGGCAGTGAACCCTCAGCCCAGACTCACCATGTGGTTCATGGACTTGAAGTTGAGATAGGTGGGCACCTCCATGTAGGAGCTGCAGAGGGTCAGGATGCTCAGGCAGAAGTCCAACAGCTGTAGGGTCATCAGTGGGACCTTGGAAGGGCTCTTTGGAGGAAGAAGACAGACCAGCAAGTCAGCCCCAACCCAAAAGCCTGGGTACCATGGGGCACAGAGTGGATCCTTAGTTTGAGAGACTGCCAGCCAGAAACACCAACAATTCTCTGATCCATGGTACCCAGAAAGAAACAGAAGCTCATTCCTCAGACATTGCCACCACAGGCTGGTGCAGACCCAGGAAAAGAGCCAGGGTGTCCTGACTCCCAACCCAGGGTCATCTGCAATATAGCTTATTAGTCTCCTCAAAGGCCACAGATAGGAGAAGTGTGAAAGCAACTCTGCGAAGCAGTCAGTGATTGGCACCAGGTGTCATGGGCATTCCCACCAAGGATGCTCACCATCTTTCCCTTCCTTTCTTCAACGTGGTTACAAAGGAGGGACAAAGCAGGAGCTGGGGACAGAAATGGGGCATCCCCTTTCCTATGGTGTAAATTCACCTCTGTTCCATGCTTGCTTACCACATGCCGCGCGCCCTGTGCACGCATTCCCCAATTAATACTTAGACGTATGGATGAGACATGATCTCAGACACATTTTACAGGAAGAAACGTGGGGTGATTTGAAGGGGCTCTGGGACTTGCTCGAGCTTACCAACTACAAAGGGGCCTTGTGGGCTCCCGCCCTCACCGGCCTGAGCTCCTCTGTCCCCCACGCTGGAGGTTGGGAGGCAGGGGACGGGGACACGGGGCATACTCACCGCCCGCCTGCTGCTCCGGGAGGCGAACTTGAGGTAGGCGGGCAGTTCGATGTAAGAGCCCAGCAGAGTGAGCAGGCACAGGAGGAAGTCCATGATTTGCAGGGACAGGAAGGGCAGCAAGCACTTCTCCCGGTTCTGAAAGGCAAGTCCAGCATACTTGGGGTCCCTTGCACAAGCTGTCCCATGCAGCCTGAGGGTCCCTGGCGCCCCCTACCTGGCCTACAACGTCCTTCCCTCCCTGGGAACTATGCTCTCCCAAATCATCTGTGCCGCTCAGCTGAGGTTACCCCATGGGGATCCACATGCCTTCCTCTGAGCGAGACTCTGGACACGGGGAGAAGGCAAGACCTAGGCCCTGAGTCTCGGTGTCCTGGGAGACAGCAGGAACACCAGGAACAGTCCTCATCTACAGAGATAAGTGCACGGGGCTCTAGGACCCGGGTCTGCCTCAACTCACTCTTAAGAACCCAAGAAGGAAAGACTTTGTGTCCATTTGGCAGATGAAAAGGAATCTGAGAAGACTTCCTGAAAGTGGAGGCACTGGGACTAGAGCTGGAAAGAAGCAGCGGGGGGAAGGGGTGGGCACTGGAGGCAGCAGGGCTGGCAGGAGCTAAGGCCTGAAGGTGTGAAAAAGAAAGCCTGTGCTGCTTTGTGCATTGTTAACAATGGGTCTGGCCTCTGTGTAGCGTGCCTTCCGAGATGTTCAGTCACAGTGAGAGGCCCTGGGAGGCCGAGGCTGACATCCCTCTCCTTCAACTGAAAGCAAGTGACCACTGTGACCAGTATGAATTCATAGGAACCCACAGTTGGGGACAAAATCAGAGAAAAGGTGGTTTCGTGGTTTCTCATGTGGTTATCCAAAATCACTCAGGAGGCAGCTGAATCAGCCCAGGCTAGAGCTCAGAAGCTTCAGGGACGATCTGATCCATTTTCCTAGCTGGACCATTTGTGTCTCAGCATGACACCCCAGGAACCACCGGGAACCAAGGCGAAAGCCCTCCCTGCAATGCAGGGCTCCCAAGAGAGTGATCTTAGCTAGGGAGTGAACAGTGGTGTTTGGAGCAAGGTGAAGACGTTTCAAACCAGCACCATTTCACTACCCAACCCTGCTGGTCCTGGGATGCCCGGTCCACCATCTTCCCAGGAAGGACTCTCTTTCTGGGGCCCGCTCCCATGAGTGTGTGACCTGGGCCCTGGCTTCCTGCCCACTCCCAGGGGTGCCAAGGGACAGACAGGTTCCTCTTTGCAGGAGGCTGAGCCGCAGCCCGTCTCTCTCATCCGCTAGCTGGATGGCACTGAGCTAGATGCATCTACACCCTCTCCTCTGCTTGGGCTCTTCTCACTGATTACAAAATCCACTGCTTTCCTCCCCTCTACCTAGGCCTCAAAATGCCCCTTCCTTTTCTCTCTACCAAATTCCCTGCCACCACCTGCAGTTCAAAAGGATGTGGTTCGGCAGCTAGTTCAGCCAAAGTGTCAGTGATGAGCAGCGGCCACAGCTGGCTGAGCACACCCTCACCCGTGGAGGACATATTTTCATAGGAAACCGGGGCCTCCAGCCCGAGGGGTCTGGCATGGAAAAAGGGGAGGGTTTCCAAAAGCTAAGTGTGAAGATCTCAGGGTGCAAGTTGGATCTCCGCCAAATACCTACCTCCCACCTCTCAGAATCCAGGGCTGCCCATGTAATGGGTGTGAATAGGAGAGGGCAGGAGGGCAGCAAGCGTTCCATGCCCATCCCCCAGGTCCCAACTCCCCTGCCCCTCCCCAACCAGGCCCTCACCTTGACCACGCCAACCAGCAGGCTCAAGCTGATGATGAAGAGCATGGTGATAAGCAGGAAGCTGGAGACCAGTTCGGCTGCAAGGCAAAGAGAGCGGTAAGAGGCCCAGAAGTGCCTCCTAGGGAGGCATTCCAGGTTCCAAGGACCACACTTTGGGAACCTCTGGTGTGGGCACTATGCCCATGAGCAAGAACGCCAAGGGCCCACCGTCCTGCAGTTCTCAGTCTTGAGGGGCTACCAAGTTGCAAACAGAACATTTCAGGTAACAAGGATGGTGCAAGAGAGGGAGCGGGGTGGCAGGGGCCTGGGAAGGCCTCTGAGGAGGTGGCCCGTGAGCCAGGAGGCCAGGAAGGGACCCCGAGACAGGGCCCAGCTCGATGTGGTCGGCGCAGCAGGGGGAGGGTGGCGTGGTGGGAGCAGAAAGAGATGAGAGATAGACCAGAGAGGTGAGCAGGGGCTGAGCCCACGGTGAGGAGCTGAGGGACGGGTGGCTGTCTGGGGTAAGCAGAGGAGAGTCCTGCTTCCCCTGCCACTAGTGCAGCCTAGAAAGGCTGGTTAGGTTTGCAAAGTGGGTCAGTAGCTCAGTCATGGCCGACTCTTTGCAACCCCATAGACTGTAGCCCGCCAGGCTCCCCTGTCCATGGGATTCTCCAGGCAAGAATACTGGAATGGGTTGCCATTCCCTTTCTCGGGGGGATCATCCTGAGCCAGGGATCGAACCCGGCTCTCCCGCACTGTGGGCAGATTCTTTACTGTCTGAGCCACCAGCACACTCCTATTTGCTCTCACACCTGGAGACTCCGTACAGACACGTGGGAATTTCTCCACTTGCAGACGTCATAAAGGACAAGTGGCAGGGCCTCAACCCCAGCTGGCCCACCCCTGGCCAGCGCCTCTCCCCTCACCCCTCCCCATCCTTCAGCTTCCCCTAGACCTACCGATCCTGAGGTAGCCCGTCTTTGAGAACTTGCAGGAGGACTTGCCATGGGCCACCTCCACCGCGTGCTCAATGAACAGCAACACACTCATGATCTGGGGGCAGAACAGAGCATCAGTGAGCCAGGGTCTGCACAGCCCCACCACCAGCCGCTTACACCCCACAGTGTGCAGTCGGGGCCTGTAAAGAGAGGTCCTGGAGGAGGTGGAATGCTGGGCAGTGAGGCATCCTGGATACAGCGTGGCCTAGACAGAGAGGCAGCTCAAGCTCTTAACCTTCCTCTTCCCAGCTATGTGAACTTGGGCAAATTATTTGACCTCTCTGTGCCTCAGTTTCCCCATCTGTAAAATGAGGATAATCCTGAGAGCTACCTAAGGAGGCTAATGGGGGAAGTAAAGGAGAACATCGCAGGACAGCACTAAGAACCACACCCAGTTCTTAGCAAAGCGGTAACTGTGACTACTGAAGGTCAGGCTTGAGGAAGTGGAGGAAACGGAAGACTCTCACCAGGGACTGGGCCCCTGCTGTGTACCCCTTTTTATAACGACAGGCTCTGGACATCACAAGATCTTAGTCACAGCATCTGAGCATAACAGAAATTCAAGTTCTTGGGATCATCAACTCAGACCTGGGAGTCTCTGATCTATGAATGCCAGTCCTCCTGGTTTCTCAGCCCTCATATGCAAATGGAGATAATATTAATATTTGTCTCATAAGGTTGTAGGAGGGCCAGATGGCATGATTCACTTAAAGTACCTGACAAATAATAAGCACAGTCTGTGCGATTATTGCTATTGTTATTATTCTCTCTGGATTATAGAAGATGCTTGCTCCTTGGAAAAAAGTTATGATCAATCTAGACAGCATATTAAAAAGCAGAGACATTACTTTGCCAACAAAAGTCCATTTAGTCAAAGCTATGGTTTTTCCAGTAGTCATGTATGGATGTGAGAGTTGGACTATAAAGAAAGCTGAGTGCCAAAGAATTGATGCTTTTGAACTGTGGTGTTGGAGAAAACTCTTGAGAGTCCCTTGGACATCAAGGAGATCCAACCAGTCCATCCTAAAGGAAATCAGTTCTGGGTGTTCATTGGAAGGACTGATGCTGAAGCTGAAACTCCAATACTTTGGCCACCTGATGGGAAGAGCTGACTCACTGGAAAAGATCCTGATGCTGGGAAAGATTAAGGGCAGGAGGAGAAGGGGACGACAGAGGATGAGATGGTTGGATGGCATCAGCGCCTCAATGGACACGAGTTTGAGTAAGCTCCGGGAGTTGGTGATGGACAGGGAGGCCTGGTGTGCTGCAGTCCATGGGGTCGCAAAGAGTCAGACACGACTGAGCGACTGAATTGAACTGAGGAAAGGACTGTGTCTCTCTTGTTCACTGCTCTAGCTGCTGTAGATGAATGAACAGGTGGATGGATGGATGAACAGATAAACCCTATTCCCTCGGGGACCCTTGCTAAGAATGACAGAGAAGGGGCAAACCTGATGGACATTTCTGTGGTCCTGGCAATAGCTGTGGTTCAGCCACAATGCTGCAGTTTCAAAGGACCTCAGAGGTCACCTTATCCCTGCCCTCCCTCTTCTAAGGTAGGAATCCTGTGCCATGCAGCCTCTTCTTGAATGCTTCCATCCACAGAAAACTTAATCTTCATTGAGCTCATGTCCTTACAGCAAGCCTTCTCCCCATCATACACACACACTTCTCCAGGTGCCATCTGACCACACTGTGAAAAAGACTGTCTCCTCCCTTGCAGTGGATGGCCTACCTCTATTAATATGGCCCAAGTTTGCATGGGCTTTCTAGGCGGCCCTGCACTAGTAACTGATGCTCAGCTGACAAACAACTAGACACCCACCATCTGTTTCCCCCTGGCTGACTTGTGATGGGTTTTTTTTAGCTCAGACATAGGTTTCAATTTGTCTTCCTGCCATATTACATCCTGTTCAAGGGGCAGAAAGGAACAGCAAAGAAGACTGATGAGGAGCTAGGCTCCAGAGTCAGGCATAGATGGATACAAATCCAGGTCATTATGTGACCTTAAGCAAGTCACTTTATTTCTCCGAATTCCCTCATCTGGAAACTGGCAAGCATTGGATTTAATGGGAAATAAATTGTGTTTGCAAAGCAGGGAGCTTCAAGCCCTGCAGTGGGTGCTCAGCAAGCATAAGCTGCTTTTGGCTGGTGTGAGTTGACACGGGGCCCCCTCTACCTGGTGAAAAAGGTTTTGTTTCAACAGGAGAAAAGCAGCTCAGAGCAGAAGGCAGATATGGTGGGGGCTATGGTTGGTACCCACAGGAAACAGCTGGGAGAGAGAAAGGCTGCTTCCTCACCTCCTGAAGGCTGGCGCTCCAGCCCCTCTTCCCCCAGTTTCCACTGTAAAGAGGGAAAGAGAAAGGGAGGCAAGTGACGGCTCAGTTCAGGACAGAACAGGGCACCTTGAAAGATGGTAAGCTCTGGGGTTCCCTGGGATGTGCGGGCAGAGCACAGATGACTCGCCACAGCTGGGCTTAGAAATGCACAAGTATCTATCAGCCATGATACAGGAAGCCTTTGAAGTCTGAAAAGTCCAGGATTGTCTGAGTCTAGGACGAAACTCAGAATCAGACAGTCTTGACCTCTAGCTGCTAGAAAGAGTCTGCCCGCTTCTTTTATAAACTCCTTCTGCTCATTTTCTAGGCTCAGAGAGGTTAGGTGGCTGGACCAAGGACACACAGCAAGCTGGGGACAATGAGGAGACTGGAGTCCCAGTGTCCCAGGGCTGTCCTGATGCCTTCCCACACACCCCGCTCCCCAAGTCACCTCGGACCCTGCTTTTCCTGACTCCAGAGGGCTCAGACACTCTGACCGTGTACCTATGTCAATAAAACCATTTGCACACACTACTCTCTGTTTCTTGATTCCCAAATTATATGCATGTGCTACCATCCTGGTTTAGAGTGAACATCATAAAACCTATACACAACATACCCAGAAATGAACAGAGAACATGATTGAACAATTCAGAAATTGTAATATTGTCACTCTGAGGCCCCAGAGGTCACCTTGGGAATCACCCCACTTTGGAAGCCGGTGCCAACCCACAAATCATTCCCGAGATTCTCAATTCTGGCCCTAACACTCTCCCACAGCCCTGCTGCCGTGTCTGCAATCCTGCCACTAGCGTCCTAACTACCCCTCTCCAACCACCCCCTCCTGAATATCCTGGGATCCCAGGAAGGAGAGGGAAGAGGGGGGACATTTATACAGCCTGATTCCATGCCTGGCTCACCACCCACACCATCCCCGTAATCCTCCCAAATCCAGCAAAGGGACTGTTCTTAATGCTCCCACCCCCATTTCACAGACGGGAAAAGTGAGGCATAAAGAGGCCCGGTAACTTGTCCAAAGCCTTTCAGCTGGTCATTTGTGGGACTCCAGGCCAATGGGCGCTAGATCTGATTCTCTTCCCCCCTCCAGTGTCCTCCCAGCATCTCCCCACCTCCTGGCTCTGCCTGAGGTCTGCCCTCCTCCCCCACTCCCATGTGAGAGCCGAGCAGAGCCAGCAGGGCCCGCCTCCCCTTCCCTGGGCCGCCTCCTCCACCTCCCACAGCTTGTGTGAGAAGCAGCAGCAGACACTAGAAGCATTTCCACTTTTGTAAAAGACCACCTGTGCTTAAAACCAAGCTCCTCCTTTACCCCGTTTCACCTTCCCACCCGACCATACTATAGGAGAGAGATAATCCTGTCCCCATTTGCCAGATAAGAACCCGGAGGCTCACAGAGGCAGGAACCAACCCCAGAGCAACCTCAGAGTCTGACTCAGACCCCCTGCTGGCCTCTACCCGTCAATGGAAGACACCAGTCCCTGACCAAGGAGGAAGACAGGCATCTCAGTTCCACAGGAGATGAAGCAGAGAGGAACTGACATTCCCCGAGCACCCGCTCTGTGCTCAGACCTGTATCCACAGGCTTGTACCGCCATGTCCCAAAACCCTGCAAGAAAGCCTACATCTTCCCCATGTTAGAGACGAGGAATGGAGACGCAGAGAGGAAAATTCACGTGCCCTGAGTCACGTGGCCTGGCTGGGATATGAACCCTGTTGCCTGGGCTCCCAGAGTCCAGGCTCCACTCCAGGCTGAGTGGTTGATCTGGGGCCCAGCCCTGGTCTCACCAACCATCCACCAGCCCTCCCCAGGCCACCGACCCTACGCCCACAGTTCAAGGGACAACAGCTGGAGTAGAAGAGGCCTCTCCCACTGTCTCACAGCTAGATAACCCTGGCCGAGTCCTGGCTCCTCCCTGACCTCAGCTCATCCCCTCCAGCCAAGAGAGTCACCCCTATTCTCACTGGAATGGCTCAACTCCTGCCCCCCAAGGCATGTCACACCCAGGCTGCCCAGGGTCTCCCACCCCGGAATGTACCCCACTCATCAGAAAGTCCTCACTGCTCCACCCAAGTCCCCAACCAAGAGCTGTTTGTAGTTCCAGAAAGTACCTGACTTACCTATAGCATACGCTGGGAGAGGCCAGAAAACCCCAAGAGTCCAGACTGCCCAGGCCACCTGGCCCTCCCCTTCCCCTCACCTCCCTCCTCCCACCAGAGCAGAGCTGTCCTCTCCCTGAGTCTGAGCGCCTGCCTGGGCCGTGACTCATGCCCTCCTGGGACAGGAATGGAGCTTCTCTCCTCCCACAATGCCCGGGCACACGACATTCACTTGCCCACCTGTTCCTCCATCATGGCATGGTCATTTACAGCTAAGAGCCAGGGTGCTGGACTCAAGTGACCCTGCCCCAACCCCAGCTCTGTGCCCTTGGGCAAGCTCCTAACCTCTCTGATCCTCAGTCTCCTTCTCTGGGAAATGGGATAATAATTGGACCTGCCTGGCAGGGCTGCTATCAGGTCAAATGGCACTCCAGCCCCGAGCCTGGCATACAGCAAATGCCCCATCAGTACACACTGTTGGGCAGGTATACACCTGCTCCCTTGTTTGTTCATCCAGTAAACACTCTCTGAGCACACACCACCTCCAGGCCCTTTCTGGAAAGGCCTCTGACCCTGGCCTGCAGGTGTCAACAGTCCCCAGAGGGACCCAACAGGTAACCAG